TGGACACTGTCCTCAGCTCTTCAGCTCAAGACTAGTGCACTATCACTTGAGCCACAGTGCCACTTCCGGTTTTCTAGTTTCACTGGAGAGTCTCACAGCCTGGGCTGGCTTTGAACTGTGATCCTCAGATCTCAGCCTCCTGAGTTGCTAGGATTATAGGCATGAGCCACCAATGCCAGCCTCCAGCTGCACTTCTATTTAATCCTCTCTAGTTTCAATCAGAGTTTTTTTTTTTTTTGGTCGGTTGTGGGGCTTGAACTCTGGGCCTGGGTGCTGTCCCTTAGCTCTTCAGCTCAAGGCGAGTGCTCTACCACTTGAGCTACAGCGCCACTTCCGGTTTTCTGGTGGTTTATTGGAGATAGGAGTCTTACGGTCTCTCCTGCCCCGGCTGGCTTTGAACCGCGATCCTCAGATCTCAGCCTCCTGAGTAGCTAGGATTACAGGCGTGAGCCATCAGCGCCCGGCTTTCAATCAGCCGGGACAGCCGGGAGTGCTCTTGTCTTCTGAGTCTGCACTCAGAATAAGTCCTAAAATTTATATACAAATCTTTTTTTTTTTTTAATTTCAGTGATGGCGCCTGAACTCTGGGCCTTGGCACTGTCCTCAGCTCTTCAGCTCAAGACTAGTGCTCTACCACTTGAACCACAACGCCACTTCCAAACCTTAGTCTTTAAAATGATTCCAAGATACACACATGCATGGGAAAGTGCTGTTTCGTTTTAACAAAACACAGAAATGAACTAGTTCTGAGACAGCAATCGAAGGGCCAGCAGTATAGGGAAGATAGTTAGCCAAACAGTGTCAGTCTCATCAAAGGACAGAAGCTGTTCAGTCCAACTCTGACTCCGAGATGGAGAGACTATGGAAGTGGCTGTGGAGTACACAGTGTAATACAGTGTCTTCTGCAATTGCGTCTGCCCCCTTTCCTTATTCATTGCTAGGCAATTTGCTTCCATTTCCATATTGAACTACGTTTCCAAATTTCTACTAGTAAATTTAACATGCTTATAATGAAAATTCTCCACTTAACATTTTTACTGATATCATTTGCAGCTCTAAAATACCTAACTTCTTTTGTTGTTGGTGGTGGTGGTGGTGATTAGGCTTGAACTTAGGGCCTGGGTGCTGTCCCTGAGCTTTTTTGGTTAAGGCTAATGCTCTACCTCTTCTGGTTTACTAGTCGTTCATTGGAGATAAGAGTCTTACAGTCCTGCCCTGGCTGTCTTTGAACCACAATCCCCAATCTCAATCCTGAGTTAAGCTAGGATTATAGGGATGAGCCACCTGGCTAACATTTTTAATAATTAATATTTTCCAGGGAAACCTAGTAACTATCATTTTCTTGAGTACAAAAGTATCAAGTCTTAAATGATGGAATCAGAATTTATTTGATAAAATTCAACACCTGCTAATGAGGAAAACCCTTTTAGCAAACAAAAAATAAAAGGTGATTTTCTTAACCTTCTAACACTCAGGAAAAACCTCAGCAAATACCTTACTTAACAATTACTTGAAACATCAGTGACTAGATATAACTCATGAGTTTTTCTTCAACCCCCAGCAGCCAAGCCTTGTGCAGGTCAAACAGATGTTTAACTACCAAGCTTCAGCACCAGAGGGAACAAGATATCAAAAAAAATATATTAGCAATGTTTCTATCAAAGCTTCAAAACTAGAGATCAAGAAAGAAATTTAAAAGGAGAGATAGGAGGGAGGAAGGAGGGAAAAACAATTTGCTTGGTTGTGGGAACTCTGACAAGTGACGGGATTCTAGACCATGCAAATGAGGTTGCAGAAGAAAGTTTGCTGGAAAGACAGCCCACACTTTATGTGGAACACACCTTGTAGGTAACGTGTCTGTGTAAATATTGACACGTAAATTTTCTAAAGCGTATTACTTTTATTAGGAAAAGCAATTTAAGCATTGCCTCAGGCAGCAAAGAAAGATCTCAAAGAGAGATTTTATGAGGAGGATGGTAGCAACTGTTCACTTAATTCATGTGAGACTATTATTTTTCTTTTGGTGATATTGTGGTTTGAACTCAGGGCCTCTCAGTTGCCAGGCAGGGGCTGTGTCATTGGAGCCACTTTCCCAGTCCTTGCTTTTTTTGTTTTGATTTTAGTTGTGGTGGAGGTTTGTTTGGGTGGTTGGAGTAGTCTTTTTTCTCTCTCTCTCTGTCTCTCTCTTCAGTTACTTTTCAGGTAGGGTCTCCCATTTTTGTCCAGGGCTAAATTCAGGCCAAAATCCTCTATCTATAGTCTCCTGCACTGCTATAAAAAGAGGCTTGTGCTATCACACCTGGCTTACCGGTTAAGAGAGTATTGCTATCATCTCTTTGCAGGCTGTCTTTGAACCATGATCCTCCTGGTATCTGTCTCCTCCTGATATGAGGCTTAACTGGGATAGTAAACTTGGGTTACAGGCCTGCGTCACTGTGCCCAGATACGTTTACTCTATTTTATTAAAACAAAAGAAAATGTTAGAAAGTTCACATATACACATATATTCATTCTCATTCTCTTCCCCTCCCTCCTTCTCACACTCCTTCAAACACATTCAGGAACCTGCTATTCTGCTTGTCATAGGGCACACTAAATCAGGGATTGGGGAGATGAAATTAGTAGGCTGGTTCCTTGGTTCGTGTGAACAAGTGTGGTAGTTGGGGGAGGGAGGACGGAGGAGAAGGGTAGGTCATGATGGCATTTCATGCATGCACTCAATAAATACCACAAACACGACAACAGTGAGAACTTTATGCATATATCTTTGTAATCAGTACAGTTCTTGAGAAGACAAAAAAAGAATCCAGGAATACAATATTCCAAACAGTAACCAGCCCATTGGTCCACATTACAAACTAGATTTAGATCATCTAGAGGCTTTTTAAAGAGGACTGAGGTGCAGAGTTGACTCAGAGAAAAAGTGCTGAGAAAGTAGACACGCCTAGACTGAAAGATACGGCTACCTTAAGTACTTCTGGTGTTTGCATACATAGGGGAAAGAGCAGGTCCATGTTGGCCTTCATACATGCTGTGAAAGAGGCTACTGTGGATTTCTTTATTTTCTAAGGTAGGCAAGGCTCCTATGTTGATTCACGCTGTGGTTACTTAGTACAATGCATGCACGTGTTACTGGTACAGAGTGCTTTGACAGAAATCTGTTTGACCTTTAAAATTTTGACAAGGTCCTTTTTACCTCAGAAGACATGTTTATCCTTTTGATTATTCATTCAGCCAATCTTGACCACCCCTTGTCACTATATCCACCTGATTCTCAGGAAAGGAATGGCCGAGAAAGGACGCAGACACAGCACAGCACTAAGACGGCTAGACCCCAGCTTCTCCTTGCTCACCCCCCCACCCCCAGCCCCAGGCCCTCAGGGAGCCAAGTGAGGAAAGAATAATTCACTGTTGGAGTCAGCCATCCCTCCAGAGGAATATGGCCATTCTGACTCATTTGAGATGAGACACAGCAAAGACTACACAGTAGAATTATTCTTATCTGTAAAGATAAGAATGGAGGGGAGGGGAATCTTGTTTTGCTTAACTTTGGGAAGTGCAGTATGTCTGTCTCCTGGGGGTAGTATACAAAGTAAGTCCAACTCTCCACCCCCCAACCTTCCCCCAAACAGGCTGTGGGTATTGTGTGCCTGTTTGTAAAGAAACTGCTGCTCGGCTTCAGATGGCTCAGAATTCAAGACCAGAACTTCACCTTTCCATGTTCCACTCCTTTTGAGGTAAAAATACCACAGAGGGGATATCATGGCTTTTCTTGCTGCCTATGTCATTCTTGTGTGTTCTGTTCTAAGAACCACACACAACCATATTTTTATTTGATTATACAAAAAGAATGCCTCTCATCATTTAAAAAAAAAAAAACCCTCACAACAACTATCACGGTAGCAAACAAAGTCACTCAAATTTATCTTGATTGTTTGAAGAATATTTCTGCCAGCACTGCTTAGATCTTGAAGATGTAGATGTGCATCTGTTCTTCTAACGGTGGTGCGATGGTGCAGTAAGCCTGCATTTAGCCAAACCAAAGGTGCACGGCACATTTTATAAATGAACTAAATGTGCAGGATAAGGGGGTAAGAATTCTTTTGGGGAAGAGAAAGGTCATTTGAGTCAGGAAGGGAGGTCCTGCATAGCGTCCCAGTCTTGGATGGTAAAAAGCCCTGTAGCCAATCAGTTGCACAGAGAGCAGTGAGCTAGCTTACTGTGCTGGAGGAACTATGGCCAAGTCCCATTGGATACCAGGAGAACTGGCCTTGAATAACTGATTAGGTTGATGCATTCCTACATCACTCCTGGGTGGCTCAGAGTTCTCAACGGCATAGTGAAGACAAGAGGTGTTACCTCTGACCCACTGGGACAAGGGCAGGAGAAAGAAGAGTGGGTGAGAGAGAACTAGAAAGCACTAATAAGGCCTTCTTCTCTGGAGAAAGGCAATATTCAAGTAACCAAGTACTCCAACCCCCTCCCCCACCCCCACCCCCCAAAAAAGCACAAAATTCAAGTAACAGTCATAAGAGCTGTGTCTGGCTTTTGAGCAGAAGCCGTGTGCATCTGCCATGGAGGGTAAGTGAGATGCAATGAGGACTCAGAACAAGCTCCATCCAGAGCCCAACAAGTCCTCAGAACCACTGGGTACCAGTGCTCTCCTCCACGAGAAGAAAAGGAGCCTTGGGAAATTTATCATTCACGGCAACGGTTTAATGTATACCCCAAAAGTGCTCTCTGCAAACCACCTTCAATTTGGTTTTCAACCTTCAATTCCAACAGATTAAAAGTTTTCTTCTTTTCACAGTTAGAAATAGAACATTAAAGAAAGTCTATTTGCTTTTCTGCTACGTTTTAGCATAAGAATAAAAAACAAGAGTACTGAGGGGAAATGCACACACATAAACATTCTCCCCAAAAAAGAACAAGAAGAGGAATATCAGGTATCAGGAAAGTTTTGGGTTTGGTTTTGTTTTTTGCAACTAAGAAAATTTCTTTTTTCTTTACAGTTTCTGTTCTGAAAAGCTGGTGTGTGCATGCTTGAGTATTAGTAACATCCAGAGAACTGGAAGGTTTGGGGATACTGCCACAAAAATAGTCTTTTCTAAACAGTTCACAAGGAAAGCTGGGGAAAACGTCACACTTGAAAACCACAAGATTTACTTTGCCACAAGAATCCGCTTTATCTGTGACCCAGGGTAGAAGGGAGCTTCCTGACTCCAGCTCCCAACGCGGAACTTCAGTTCCCATTTTGATGGGCTGCTGAAGCTCACGGCTAAAATTCTATTGGTCGTCACTGGATGGGCAAGAGTGGAAGGACACCGCTGGGACATGAATACCACCATGCCAAGAGGAGTCTAGATGCCAGTCACTGGGAGACATCACCGTTTCTTAGTGCTACTGTTTCCGCGACTGGATTTGCTGAAGCTCCTACTCATCTGAGGGAAATGCACAGTTGGGGTTCTTTCTGTAGGACCATATAACCCCAAATTCCGGGCAGTGGCTGATTTCCGCAGAGGCTTGACACTCGGAAAAGGACTAAAGATGGGGGTTTTGGCGTGGCTGCCTTGGGGCAGTTTGCTGGTGGCTTTGTGCTCTCCAGGTGTGGTATCAGGTGGCTCTGGGCCTTGTCTCACCTTGGGCTCAGTTTCAGCAGTGTTGTCTGGGTTCAGTTCCAAGGCTTCTAGCTTCACCTGAACAGCAGCCACATCCACCTCACCATCCCTAAATGCTGGCTCTGGAGAATGCCCTTCAATTGTCCGCAGGGTGCCTCCAGCAGAGCTGCTGTCTTTTCTGAGAGTTGTGGTTGTACAACTGGTGGAAAACTCTTCCACTGCCCCCAGGGTGTTAGTCTTACAGCCCTCATTTTGCTCTTCTATCAGCCCTATGGTGTCCCCACAGCCCAGGTGACTCTTGGTCCTAGGCATGTTCTTTTTGTGGACTCGAATGTGAGTCCGCCAGGGAGAGTTGAGCTTTGTTTTAAGGTCTTCGTAAGGGACAGGAGATAGTTTACCTCCTGCATGGCCAGGGATATGGATGACGGCATTCTTGGCAGCTCTATTTGTCATTTTCATCTTCTTCCCTAAAAGAAGGTGGTTTATAACTGGAGAACTGTTTACCTGAGATGGAAGAATGCTGGTCACTGGCCCTTTGTCTGGAAGAAATGTTTGAAAGGCGATGTGAAACACCACAGAGAAACATCCATCTGAACAACGTATTTTCCCTCTCTTCCCTCTCTCCCCCACCCCCAGGTCATGTGACTAAGGACAACAGAAACTGAAATCAACCCTAGCCCCTGGGGTCCCAAATCCCTCTTCTTCTAAGAGAAGGAGACCAGAAGCTTGGATATGTTACAGTTTTTAAATGTTCTTATGATGAAGACTTGGTTCCCAGCTAGCAGATCCAATCACTGATGATTATTAAATCAGGAGTCCCCTGGCCTAACCAACAGATTCATCAACTGATGGATTCCTGATTGAGTAGACTATTTATTGGGAGGTGGTAGAAACTGCAGAAGTGGGTCTCTGAGGACATGCCTTTGAAAGGTCTATCTTATCCCAGGCCCTTTTTGCTCTGTTTCTTGGATGCTATGAGGTAAGCAACCTCTTCCACCTGGCCCTGACACCATGACGCTCTGTCTCACCACCTTAGACTCTTAGTAAAGGAGTCAGTCCAGGGCTGGAAGCTCTGAGACCATGAAGGAAAATAAATCCTTCCTCCTTGAAGCCACTTGTCTCAGGGATCTGTCCCAGTCATGAAAACCTGTATTCAAAAATAAACAGGAACTCTTCTGGCCCCTTAGTTCTAATATCAGCCTAATCTCTCATTTATTTTTTTTTTAATTTTGTAAGTTTTGTCTCTGTATAGCAATCTCGGGTCTTATGTCTAAAAATCTTTGAAATTTTTTAAAAAAATAATTTGACAAGCACTTTGACCATATGGATTAGATCATATAGATTATCAGATGTCAGCTCCTGAAAGGTAAGAACACATTGCACGTTACGAAATGAGAGACAGCAGAGTGAGGAAAAGTACTAGCAGGATAATAAAAATACGGTGGAATCAGGCTGTCCAGTGCTTGGTTTTAAGAATGAAACACCACACCTATATCCTCAATGGGCTTTGAAAACCAAGTGACAACTGGAAAGCAACAACAGTTTTGTTGTCCTGTGGATAGCATGACTATCTACTTCCTAGGTCTAGGGCCTTGTTTCTGATGCAGCCTTAAAGACACTGGGTACTAAGGATATCAGAAACAGCTGAAACAATAGGAAGTAGGTCCTTCTATCTCTGTGTGAACATCTCTTTGATGTCCACATCATCTATCCTTCTTGACTCATAATTCCAGTCCCACCCTAAACCTACTGAAAGAGATTCTTCATTTTAGCAGATCCTCAAGAGACTTATATGTACACTACAATGTAAAACACAAGGCTTCAGAACTTTGCCTTTGAGCAACTATCTAATGTCAACCCTGATTGAAAAGAACAAAATAAATCATGGTCTAAAGCAGGGACTAGCAAACTTTTTTTCTAAGACACCAGGTTGCAAATATCTTAGCCATTTTGGTATGAAAACAGCTTTCAACAACATGTAAACAGAATGAGTATGCCTGTTTTCTAATAAAGCTTTCTTTATAAAAGCAAACAGTGGGCAGAATTTGGCTGTAGATTACAGGTTTGTGAGGACTTGACTATATTACAAGCCACTGGGCCAATTTTCATTATAACATTCACTTAGAACAAGAAAAAAATCCTTCAAATCAGCATAAATTAACAATAAAGCAGATTGTTCATTAAAAAAATAAGGATTAAAAGAAAATTTTTACAATCCTTGGAAAAGAGCATTTCCAACTGCATTATAATTTATTCTTCTTAGCTCTCTCTGGGATATTGCTAACCCAGCAGTGAAACACAGGCTTACTAATTTTGTTTCTTTTTCCTTATCACAACATCTGTTCTAGTATTACCTAAAGAACTAGAGAATGGCTTAATTTATGAGTGCACAGATGACTAAGTGACTATTTTCAAAGTTTCTCCAGTCCAAGGATTGCATGATGTGGCAACAACATTCTAATCATTTGCTAACCCCGCTCCACAAGCCTGCATAGTAAAGACGTGTTTAATACCATCTACTGCCTGTGCCTTTGGAACTAAAAAGAACCCATCATCTGTGTCTTCTTTAAAGCCTGATAAGATAAAAAAAAAAATGAAATGTTAAGTATGCTACTATCTCATGTCATCTGACTTTTAGAAGTTGAGCTACCATTGGTAATCCTGAAATCATTTGTTCATTTTAGAAGCTGAGATTAAGTTGAAATTGATTCAACCAAAGATATTACCTGCCCTGATGTACACCTGATGGACCTGCTGCTGTTGCTTCTTTTTAATTCGAGAGTACTGCTGCTTCAGGGCATTGATATCTGTGGTCATACGTTCCATCATCATACTGTTGAATGCAGCATGGTAATCACTGCGGCAGGAATTGATTGCCCCTGGACTCAATTCTGCAATGTTGTTAGATCTCAAGTTCTGTTCCTCATTTGGCTCTGAATCAGGGAGGAGACACAGAGAGCTGGTCGGTAGAGTAAAGCAGGATCTCTTCCTCTACACCCCTTCATTCTTTCTCTCCCTTCCTTCCTTTTCTCTACCCCCTCCCCCACTCTTACTTTGGTGTTGGTACTGGGGCCTGAACTTAAGGCCTGGTGTAAGGCCTGGTGTTTTTGCTTGGCCTTTTTTCTCAAGACTGGCACTCTACCAAAGGAGCCATACCTCTGTTTCCTGCTGGTTAATTGGAGAAAAGAGTCTCAAGACTTTTTCTCCCACACTAGTTTTGAACCTCAATCCTCAGCTCTCAGGCTCCTCAATAAGGACTGAACCACCTGTGCCCAGCCTCTCTTGCATTTTCTTATCAGCCTAACCCTAGGTCTGAAATGAGCTGTGTAGGTTCATTCATTTTGCTACCATTTTGTTTATTATACAGACATAAGATCAACTGCTTCCCCATAAAGATCAGTGCCTAAAGTTTATGCCTTTATGCCTAAAGTATCTAAGGTTCTCTTAGAAAAATATACCAGATATCTAAAACCATTGTGTAAATGTCTATACAATCACATAGGTATTTATAAGAGACTGACTGTTTATAAAGTTTAGATCACCATTATAAATGCATTTCTCTTAAGTTAAAAAAAATAGGGAGCTGGGAATGTGGCTCAGTGGTAGAGTGCTTGCCTTGCATGCATAAGGCCATGGGTTCAATTCCTCAGCACCACATAAACAGAAAAAGCCAGAGTGGCACTGTGGCTCAAGTGGTAGAGTGCTAGCCTTGAGCTGAAGAGCTGAGGGGCAGTGCCTAGGCCCAGAGTTCAAGCCCCATGATCACCACCAACAACAACAACAAAATAATATATTTGATGGAGTCATAGATTTGGGGACCACTATACCCTCAGAAATGAAATTTTTGTCACCTAACAAATACTTCCTGTCCATTATGTACTGTGTCTGATATGATCTTGCTTCTGAGATAATTAAAACAAGTACAGTTACCCCTTATATAACACTGCAACTATATGAAAGAAAGAGAAATATATTATTATAAGGATGCACTCACACTCTGCATGGAATCAAGAAGAGAACCAGGTTTCTCTACAGTAATATGTAAAGCTGACCTGGGTACCAGCTAAAGAAAGATGGGCAGATTCCCACTATCCTGGCATCTGTGGGAGGAACTTCCAATTTGAACCAAATCTAAGCAAAACTAGACAGTCATTTAGGAGCAGGTAATGGTGTCATCCTGGTCCACATAATTACACAGAAAGAAAAGCAGAGACATAGTCCCAGACTTCAGAATACAGATTCAAAAACTTTAGCGCCAATATATATATATATATATATATATATATATATATATATATATATATTCATTCCATGTCTAGAAACCCAAAGCTGACAACAAAGAACTATGGGGGCATTCCAGAAATCAACTCTTGTTGGGTTCAAGCTTGTAAAAGCCATTTTAAAAGATGAAAGAAGAGTCATACCCCACTAAGGAGAGTTAAAAATCAAAAATAACCCTAGCTACTCAGACAACTGAGATCTGAGAATTGTGATTCAAAGCCAGCCTGGTCCAGAAGTCTGTGAGACTCTTATCTCCAATTAAGTAGCAAAATGCAAGTGGTAGAGTGCCAGCCTTGAACAACAAAGCCAAGGGAGAACATGATGCCCTGAGTTCAAGCCCCAGTACTGGCACATGCCCGCATACACACGTGTGCGTGCACACACACACACACACACACACACACACACACACACAATCAAAATGATCTGAAGCTTGAGGGAAATAACCCAAATGATCACCATGAAAAAGGCAATGGTAGCAGTTGCCACCATCATCTTCTAAAAAAGAACTGAGAGAGAGAAAGAGAGAGAGAGAGAGATGAGATGAGATGATAGCTATACTTCTTTAAGACAGTAATACAAGGTGAGCAAGCCAGAAAGACAAGACAATGTTCCTCTTTCAACTTTCCTCTGCCCTCTTTTAATGAGGCAAATGGCCTTTCACTAGACAAAAGAGCTGCCACCCAAGATCAGAAAAGATATGGTGGATGAATTAACCACAGACCATTACCAAAGAGTTTGCTATATTGGTAATGCCCAGCCCACAGGATTTCTATTCTGTTCAAGAAATAAACAAGAGGGCTGGGAAGGTGGCTCAGTGGTAGAGTGCTTGCCTTGCATGCCTGAGGCCCTGGGTTCAATTCCTCAGCACCACATAAGCAAAAAGAAAAAAG